TACGTCTGACGTCGAAGTTTGCCATCCGTGCCCGTATCAGGAGGGGGATGTTCGAGTTTGGGGAACCTCCGGGGAGCTCTTCAAGGTAGAAAGTGATCGGTTGGACCGACCACAGAACTTGTCGAAGGTGCTCATTTTGCCGGAGCTGTTGGTGATGAGTTCCTCGAACTTCCTCTTTACCGACCCCACGGATAGGTTCCTCGGGGATCCGCCGGAGATGACCATGGCCTTTAGAAAGTACTCCCACCGGCTGGTGGGGCGTACAGGCTCGTCGGGCAGACCAAGATCGGCGGGGAGGCCGAATTCTCTGAGGGCGAACCAATCTTCAGGCCGGCTGACGCTGAGGGAAACCTGCAGACCGTTGTCACCGTCAGGAGAAGGGAGGTCCTCGACCCTTTTGGCCTCGGGAGCATCCTTCCGCGGGGCTTCTTCTTCCCGAGTGTACCTTTTCAGGTGCCCATCTTTGATCAAGATTTTGATTGCGTCCTTCAGGTGGATGCAGTCTTCTGTAACGTGCCCGTGGCTTTTGTGGAAGCGGCAGAACTTCGATTTGTCCATGTTAGGCTTGGGGGTGTCGGCCAGGGGAAGCGGACACCCGCCTGGACAAACTCCGTTTTGGCGCACTCGGCCAATTTGCACTCACGAGAAGCGAGCAGAGCTGTGTACTATGTAAATCGGCCAACGGGACCGCGTCGCTCGCGTGGCTCGAGGCTCCGTCCTCTCAGGACCTGCTGGGGGTCTCTCGGTCTCGAGTGTCGCGGGCGGAGTTGGCCGCTTGAGTCTCCTCGAACCGGATGTAATGCGCGGCTCTGTCAAGGAAGTCTTGTAGAGAGGCTGGTCGGTGTATAGCCACAGCCTCGTAGAATTTAGAGTCTCGGCGCAGGCCTTGCTCCATCAGGTAACGTTTCATCTCGTCCGATGTCGTTACCTGCACTGCCTCCCGGGTGAACCTTTCGATGTACTTCCGGAGGGGTTCATCGGGGGCCTGGATTATGGCACCCAGTGCAGCCTCTGTCTTCAGGTGACGCGGGAATGTTGTGAAGTGTCTTGAAAAGAGGTCCTTCAGGACCCTCTACGACGTAGAGGGTAGAGGGTACAGACTTTTGTACCACGTCATGACACCCTTCCTCAGCGTCATCGGGAAGAGTCTGCAGATCTCTCAAGATAGAGGAGTCTTGTAGTCGTCTTCGTCACTGAGAATTGGCGACTGAGGGGGTGTTGGCACTGGTGGTGGAGGCGCTTGATTTTGCGCCCTCGGCCGCCTGACCGGGGGTTCGACCCACGGAGGTCTGGCCAGGGGATCCACTCTGGCCGACCGTTGCTCCCGGACTTGTCTCCTGGGCGACCTGGTTCGTTCCCGCACTGCTTCGAGTTGAGGCCTCTCTAGCTAAGGTTGACGATTTCTAGGACGAGGGGACGGACTCCTCGAGTTTCCGTTCTAATCTTCCCGCGGAGGGGACCTCAACGGGGCTTCGTGCTCTAGCGCGCCAATCCGTGCGTTCTGTTGAAACATCAGCTGATTTGTTTGGTTGATGGTCGCGAAGAGGGCGACCACCGTCGGGTCTGCTCCGGCCGGGACAGGGATGGGCTGGAACGCTGTCGGGCTTCTTCGTCGAAGAACAGTCTGGTGTGCCGCTTCTTCGGACGAGGGAGAGGCAGTATGGTCGTCCCTCTCGTCAGTCTCCAGAGGTTGGGATGCCTCCGTTCGCGGCGGGAGCGAGGATGAGGTCGTGAACGGCATCGTCGTGGTGTGGGCTAGACATGATCGTGAAATGTTGATGAAACTTTGGTTCTCTGCTCGGAGAAACGAGGAAGTTTTATATCCCCATAGTTGGCGCCACTGATCTAACCTGATCAGAAGGGGACCAAGGACTTGTCACTCGCCGTTGATCTGTTGCCTGTTCACCGGTGTTGAAAATGAGACGTGGGTGTACCTGCAAGACACTCTAATGCCAAAGTAAGAGTTTGGACAGAGTGACAGCGAATACAGAAAAGGGGTAAGAAGAGAATACCTGACCCTCTTGGGGAAGAGGGTATTTATAGAGAGACCCCAGCGTTGTGCCAACGGTCACTTGTGTTGGGTTGGATTGTCAAGCCCAACCTAGGTGACTACTAGGGCTTACGTGGCGTAGTGAAGACCGGAACATGGTCTACGCCCTAGTTCAATTGCTCTGTGGACTCCGAAAAGTGGGTTGACCTGCTCTTTTGGAAGTGGACAGTTGGTTGATGACGTGTCCCGCGGAGGGGAGCACGTGGATAACATGTAAAAGACACGTTGTTCTACTCAACAAATGAGAAGGTTTTGCCCGCGGAGGAACTATTCTCTGTCCGACGGAAACCATGTACTTGACGGATGTAGCCCAAGTCGGATTGAGCCTAACTAAGTATTATTGGGCTGGGTCTCCCCAGTCAAGTCGGGGTCCAGGCCATAACACTTATGTTTATTTATATGAAAAAAAGTGATGCTAATTTTTTTTTACAATGTCAATCAATAACCATCATTCATCTTACCAAATAATATTAAAAATTCTAAATTAATTATATGACATGATAAAACGATATATTCTTATTAGATATCGTAATAATAATTAAAATTTATTTATATTTATGTGAAGGTTCAACATATCAATTTCATTATTCATAAAATATAGTAAATATCTACTCACATAATACTTTCAACGTATTAATTTTGTCTTATTTGAGAGTCAGGCTTGACTAAAGATGATTTTAAAATGATATCCTTGTATTTAATGATGACTTTTTTATAAGACAAAAATCTATTAAAAAACGTTAAAAAAAAAAAAAGAAGTCATGGGAATTCAAACCTAACCCAAAATAATGAAGTAAAATAAAATAAAACAAAAAATAAGAAATAAAATAAATAAAAAATTAATATAAGAAAGAGATCAATAAATTAAATTAGTGATCTACTATTTATGCGGATGTTATATGCTCAAACGGTACTCACATATCTGTTGTCTGCGCTTTTTTATTTTTAATGTGCATATAAATGTATTTTATTATTTAATTTTAAGTATAATTTAAATTTTATTTATATAATAAGTTTTTTAATAAATCTATCTGTATATGAATTTAATTTTATATTAAATATGTAATAAATAAGACAATTAATATATTGTCATTTAAAATAAAGCATAGAATGAAATAAACACATATTTATTTATATAAAGATCAATAAAATAAAGCATAGAATGAAATAAACACATATAATAAATATGAAGAGCTCTCCCTATTTATCTATCTATCTACATGTCCAATATTAGAGTATTCATTTGTGTTATACTAAATTTATATTGTAATATGTAAAATCACTTATGATTTTTGATCAATTTTTTAAAATGCAAGAGAAAAAAAAAAGGAAAAGTCGTTATTTAATTTCTATTAATAATACAAATAATTTAAGTTTTGAATCAAAAGCAATAAGAAAAATGACAATAATTATGTTGACCAAAAAAATGAAATGACAATAATTATTTAGATACTTATTACATTCTCTTCAACAAATTTATTCAATAGTCCATTCTTTGCATCTAAGCAGAGAGCAGAGTGAAGTTAAGAAACTTATATATTTGTCAAAAAGAAGTACTCTGTTGTACTTTTCTTTTAACTACTTTCTTGAAATCTAGCATCAATTTCCAAAAAGAATGAAGAGTGATTGAGCGACTGACGGTAAGAAAACGTGAAGTTATGTAGAGGCAAAATAATCACAACTGTAAATTTCTTTCTCGTGGATAAAATTGGGTGAAACAGTTTCTTTTTATGATAAATTTGTAACATTGCAAAATGAAGAAAACAGTTTTTTTATAATAAATTTTAAATTTGAGAGGGAGTTAGAGGGTAAAATTGGTATAAAAATAGGTCAGCCTTAAAATTCGTATTTCCTTCATAAAAAGGTGAAAATCATGTGAAATATGAAATCGAAAAGTAAATATAGTAATATTTTCTCTAATCAAAGAGAGATGAATTCAACCATTTGCAGTATTGTTAATAGCAATTTGCATGAAATCCGATTTAAAAAATTGCTCACAAATAAAAGTTGCTGCATAAACTTAAATTAACAAAATAACTAACATAAAAGTCAAAATCTCAATATTTCACTCACTAATAAAGCATGAGGCAGTATATTATGTCTTTACTTGAGTAATAAAGCATGATGCAGAAATTGAGTCTTTACTTGAGTAGTACTGGTAGTCAAGTTTTACTGCTTTAGGTATTATACATAAAACCCACTAACAAACACCAACTCCATATACACGACCCCGCTATTCATTACCGATATACTACAAATAGTGGTGGAGTTGACATATTAGTGGCACACAATAATGGAAAAAACAAAGAAGAAAAACACTACAAACACTCTATTTTCAACACTACCTCTAACACTCTCATTTACTAAAACTGGTGTAGGTCTCACTACCTTTATAAATTTTACTTAATAAAATAAAAAAAATGTTAAAGAGTGTTAAACACCGAGTGTTATTAGCTCATTCATTAATGTGTTATAAGGCCAACAGAAGAATGTGTGCTGATACGTTGCTCAGCCACTTGAATTTAATACAGCAACTGAGGGCAAGTTGTGTCCATATGCATCTACTTCATTGCTTAACAGAACTAAAAGGTGCAATCAGTGAGTGCATTACACATACCTCTCTAATTTTAATCCAATCAGAAAAATGGGAGGAGCAACAATACTTGCATATCACTCAACAAGCTACATGTCATGAAACACCCATGTCAGTTCAAAAAGAATTGATACTTAGTTTATTCAGTGTGATGCATGAAGAGATAGCGAGGTGTTCTTTAGATGCCATTTTTCAGTGACAATACACACACCATTTAAGGAAGGCCCTCAATGATAAATCATGCAAAGGTAATCTATTACTGAGAGAAGTGTTTACAATTACAATGGACTACACTATATAATTTTGTATTATTGGTACTATATGCATAACGTAAAAAACAAACCATCTTGATCATGTCTACAGGTTTTTCTTGAGACTGGATGTGGAAAAGGATGATCTGGATTTTGGATTGGGCTTTCTTGTTTTGTTGGCATCTGGATTGGAACTTCTAATAATGAAAAGAAAAGTCTCAACAAGCATGGCACACACCAACCCAAGAATTCCTCCAGCAGCATTCTGAAAACATAGATAAGAAAGAGATTAGAACTCAATTAAACTGCTTGGCTATATCAATGTAAAGAGGGGATGCTTAGCAATCTATATGATATGCTTTAATTTGAACTATTTGGTGGTCTCATAGGCAGAAGGTGTTCAACTCAGTTTCTTAGGATGTGGATAAATTGAAAGCTTGGAGCTGGCTTACTGCAAGACTACTTGGAGGTTGACTAATACTGCTGCTTGTTTAAGTGTTTCTGAAAATTTCTACACATAGTTTAATATGTTAGAAGGTTGGATCCCTCTCAGGTTTGTTTGTAATTCTGCGGCCTAGCTTTTGCGAAACACTTTTTTAGCTTATAGAAAAATGTAACGCAAAACAGATTTTAGACAATACCATGGCAGGACTGTGATCAAACAAAGCTCTAAATGCTGCAAATCCAACAAGATAGCCAGTAAACATTGTGACAATAACATGCAAACCTGGAAAAAAAATCAAGAAACAAAATCAAATAACAAATTGAGAGGGGAAAAACATCTCCAACTAGAGATAATGCAGGCATAAACTGCTTCTGTAAGACATCAGAGAAAAGAGGGGGAAAACTCCACATATATTTGTCATATGAATTTAGTTTACTTCATCAAAATAGAGAATATTAAAGGGACTATGTCTTCAGTTATATCAATACTCCCAATCAATGAGGAAAGTTTATAAATATCATCATAACAGTTAGCTTATTAAGTTATCCAGTGAAATGTACAAATATCAAAAGTGAACCAAAAAACAAAATTGTAGTAGTGAAATTAAATGATATTCAAGTGTTAGAGCCTTCTCCTCCTACATATAACATAACAAGAACTGTAAATCTGTTATTGCACAAAAATAACTAACACAATCCAACAGCACCACCAATATGCTAACATAAAGTAAAATGATTAAAATCTCATTATCAATGCTAGGCATGAAGCGTCGTATCCTCAATGGTCGATAATGGTCATCAAGGGTGAAAGACAATAAAATGCAATGACCCCTTTTCACATCGAATTCCACAATCATGTCTTTTTTAATGTCATTACAAATATCACATTTTCATGTTGTTAAGTTCAATTAAGAACTTCATATAAACCAAATAAACTCCATTACCATGAAAACACATAAAACACCCAATAAAACAAAACAATTGACAACATTTGAATTAAAAATTTGGCAGCCGCACTAATACCAATAACTGCTGAAAACAAACAAAAAACTTCTGGCCAAACTGTATTAACAATGTATCGCCCACTTGGTTCAACAACGAAGTAAGTTACTAAAAAATGAGGTCATTGAGCAAAACAAGCTACTCGATCCAGCAATGTCCAACCTCATCGAGTAACTTCACAAAACAAAGCTTCCATAATTCTCAAAAGATTCATTTTTCAGCGATAAATCAAGCTACTAATGAAAGAATCTTTTTCCTTTTACCAATAACTAACTACACACAAAACTTGATTGATATGCTAAATGCTCATTCGTAGTAGATAGAAAAGAACAAAAATTTACCAAATCCTAATTGATCCTTGTAAGAGGAGAAAGGTTCTTGAACATCTTCCTTTGGTGCAATATCCTTAACAAGCTCCTTATATGCTTTCCTCTCAGCTAAATCTTCCAACTTTTTTAACCTTGCTTTCAGTTCTTCACTCTTCACACCAAATGATCAACATAAAAAATCAATTACTTGCAGAAATTGATGAACAATTATAGAATACATGCAACACAATCTAACCATTTTTTCCATGCCAAATCAATTTAATTAATTATATCTCAAGAACAAATTTTGAAACTAGTAAAATTAAATAAAATCTGAAAATTAATTTTCGTATATGAGAATTATGAAAAACAAGAAGGGTAATGAAATTAGGGTTTGACCTTTTCTCTGGGTTTAGGGCTTGAGAAGACGAAGCCGGTACCGGATAAGAGTCGGATCAATTCGGGTCTGGTGGATGGATCAGAGGCGATCCAGACAGCACGTAGTGGCTCGTACGGTATTTCAGATTGGATGAGGAGTTCGGAGGAAGTCTGCCGGAGTTGAGAGGAGATAGTGGGATCGTTGGAGGCTCCGGAAAGGAAATCCCGAATCGAATTGGTGCTGGATAGGATCAACCCGGCCCGGTTCGAGGTATTTTCAGTAGCCATTAGCGGTTTCTCTTTAAGTGATGATGATGAGGAGAACGTAAATTCGATTTAGAAAGAGAGAGAAGGAAAACCTGGACGAACGTTCTTACAGTTTGAGGCGGCCGACGACGAACTCCGGCAGCGTTATCCGGCGAATTGAGGTTCGTTTTGTGGGCGCTGTTGAGCTTCGTTGAGTAGGGTTTTGATTAAGGGCTTGTGATTAGAATCTCGTGTCATTTTTCATTTGAAGTTTTTTAATTGCACTCCCAATTTCTTTATTGGACCCCATGCCAGATAGATAACATAGTATACTATTTGAGAAAAGTATATATATTTCGTTAAATAAATAAAATATTGATAGGTTTGAAATTTGGTTCGAATATCTACCTATCATTAATTTTATCATATTTTCCCTACTTTGTTGATTAAACTAGGCTTTAAAATCTCTTATACATATTCCAACTTAATGGATACAAATTGGCCAAGTATTCAAATATACCATGATTGCGCCAAGAGTCATGGATCACATTTTCTCTATTTGGCAGAAAATTCATTCATGACATTAATAATTGTTACGATTAGAATCACACACGTCTGTTAGAGGCTCTTAAAAGAAAAACTCAAATGAGATTAGTGCTGGATAAAACCAACTTGGTCCGGTTTGAGGTATTTTCAATAGTCATTTGTGATTTCGGATAAGTGATAATAATGAGAATATATATATATATATATATATATATATATATATATATATATATATATATATATATATATATATATATATAATTTGATCGGTTCAATTCTACTAGTTTTTGTTGTACTATTTTATTAGATTTGTAAGTATCATACCACCATAATATTCCTTTAACAAATAACCATTTTTTTGAATAAGTTATATGCAATTTGAAAAACTTTGTTTACAACCACAAACACACATATAAATCCTCTAAAAACATGGCAATAAAGGTCGGATCAAAAAATTCCTCCTAACTTCATTTTCATTAAATTCAGTTGATTAAAGTTGTATTTCCAACATGCTATTTAAATTTCATCTGATTATTTCATGTACATATTCATATAACCTCTTGAATTTATTTATGAAAGGTTCATTAATCATGTGAATGACATCTTTTCTTACCTTGTAAGCTTTCTTCCTATTAATACCACCGCTCCATTTTTCATTAGCTCTGTGTGTGTCAGGTTGATATTTGAGTTCTCTTTTACAATTTACAATTTTTTCTTTCCTAACCATTCATATTTTTTATAAGTTTCACCTTATACTTTCTATTGTGTGTGTGGTTCATCTACCAGTTTCTTCAATTTCCATGTATCATCACTTGTCATTTTTCTAGATAAAGTAATCAAATGACATTCATCTTTGTAACCAAACTTAACTTTAAATTTATCATTGTTAATAAGCCTCATATTCCTTCTATTATCTACTACATAATTACTACCTCAAATTTCTACCAAGGATCTTAAAATCAACCATCCTCTTAGGTATGACAAATGATGAACAATGTTGCTTACTACTATCATTATTAGATTCATCCGAAACATCAATGACTAAATTTGTTTTATTTTACTCCTTATTATCACTTATAACTTTCTTCCTATTCTTGTCAATGTTAATAGTTGATCGGTGGTTTTTACACGTTATTTTACAGTTTATTTCAGTTAACCATTTGTTTTGTCTTGTCTCATTTTAGTTGTTTTTATTAAATTTTACGCGTCGATTTGGTATTTTTACTGTTTCTAGGTTCAGGTATACAATAAAGGAGAAGCAGAGCGAAAACTGGGAAAAATAGCAAGATTTCGGAAGAGTTTTGTTGTGAAATCTTTAGCAGTCTGCACGAAAACGATCATAACTGGAGTTCCGGGAATCCGTTTGAGGCGTTCTAAAAACCGCCGGAAAGCTAAGAGAGAGAGCTACGACTTTCGTGTTGGAGTCGAAGTCAAATTCGAAACAGGGGTGCAACACGGGTGCCCGTGTTGTGTGACACGACCCGTGTTGCAGGATTTGCTCAGAAAAGACGATTTTTGGAGAAAAAACAGTGGCACAACACGGGTGCCCGTGTTGTGTGACACGGCCCGTGTTGTGACACCTGGGACTTGCAAATTTCACGCGAAAAATCTTTCAGGAAGCCAACACGGGCGCCCGTGTTGCCTGACACGGCCCGTGTTGCAGGAAGTGCTTTTTTTTCCTATTTTTCTTGTATTTTTTACTCTTGTGATCCCCGAGGGCATTGTGGGTATTTCCCTAGTGATTAGTTTGAATTGAGACTATTTGATACGTGTTTGGAGAAAGAATAAGGATTGAACTTTTAAACGGAAAATAAATTGGACGAGAAAGATTGGAGCGATCAAGGATTTGGGAAACTGAAGGTCCTCATGAGCGGAAGCCATTGAATATCAAGACAACCAATTATCTTGTAATGTTTAGTCTTATTGTTCATTTTATCTTTATTATTATGAGTAGCTAAACCCCCTAATGCTAGGGGGTGTCCCTGAATTGACTCTGTAATAACCTTGTTTCCTTTGAATAATGGATTTCACTACTTTTTAATCATCGTTGTTATTGTATAATTTTCTTATGACTTTTCTTATTTGACAAATAAGGATTTGTTTTACGGTTAACCTTAGGTTTGGAAAAACGACCGTTAACGCGTTTATACGATAATACTATAGTAGATATTGCCTAGGAATGGGGATACCCTATAGTAACCGTAATGTTTTAGATAAAATATGTTGCTTGGGATTGTTCCTATACCGCCAAGGAATTGGGGCATAGGAAGAATACCAAAGGGTTTTCTACTAAGGAATTAGAGTCAACTAATCTTTAAAACCGGTAACGATTGAATTGAGCAGTGATTTCTGAAAAATAAGGATTAAGGTTATTACAAGGTTTTTTCATACACCATACTCTAGCATGCTTCTCATAACGGTCTAAAACCTTTATTTTACTGCTTTTGCCTTTTGCCCTTTAAAATTGTAAGAAACAAACCAAAACCCCTATGACTTTTTGTTCAATTGTATTATTTTAGAACTTGTGTTCATACGCAGTCCGCGAGATCGATATTCGGGGAATTTCCCCTTATTACTACATCGGTACAATTAGTACACTTGCTAATTCACCGGTCAAGTTTTTGGCGCCGTTGCCGGGGACTGCCAGAATATAAGTGTAATTCTAATTCAATTGAAATTTTGTTGCTCTGCGACCAAAATTTTATTTTCAATTTTTTAATTTTAATTTTTATTATTTTTATTTGGTTACTAGTAATCTGCGTCTAACACTTTCATGCGAGGAGATCCCTCAGCTAATTTTTTCTTTGGACGCAGAAATTGAAAGGACTCTACGCGAAAGACGTAGGCAAGCTAGACTATTAGCTTCAGAAGAGGAAGGAGTTTCTGTTCATTCAGATTCGGGTTCAGAATCAGAAAGAGATACTGAAGCTATGGCGGATCTCCCACCAGCGGAGAGACTTTTGGGAGACTATGGAGGGGCAAATGCTCAACCAAACCGGATGACCATTGTGAATCAACCAGTGAATGTCGCAAAGTTCCAGCTGCATCCGAGCACAATCACTCACCTTGAGAGGAGACCTTTCACCGGAAAGGTTAGCGAAGACGCAAATAAGCATCTACAGAGATTTTTGACGATGAGCACTACTCTAAAGATTGAAGGACACACAGATGAAGCTAAAAGGTTAAGAATGTTCCCGTTCACTTTATCTGAAGAAGCTGAAGAATGGTTTTACTCCTTACCAGCCGGAAGTATTACTACGTGGGAAGAAATGGAAAAAGCCTTTCTGAATGAGTATTTTCCTGCCTCTGTGTATATTCGCAAACGATATGATATTATGAATTTTAAACAGAGGGAGGGAGAATCACTCGGAGACTCGTATAAAAGGTTCAAACGGTTATTGGTTGCATGTCCTACTCACAATCTAGATCAAACTGAACAGATGCAGATGTTTGTGAATGGTCTTAAGATGAAGACTAAGCAGCTAATCGATACAGCAGCCGGTGGTTCATCCAACTTTACAACAGCGACTGGAATCAGAAAAATTATTGAAGCGATTGCTGCAAATGAACATCTGGAATTATATGACCGGAGTGTGAGTAATCCGGAAGAAACAGTTGACTTGAAGTTGGCTGCACAAGTTGTGAAAATGGAAGATCGAATCAAGGCTGAAGTGGAAAGAAGGCTTAAAGGGATGAAGGTGAGTACTGAAACTGTAGCTCAAGTTCAACCTGTCAAAGTTATTAGTTGTGAGATTTGTAATGGTCCCCATTATACTGTGCATTATCTTGCGACTACTCAACAAGTTGAAGAGATAAAAGTTTTGAGGCAGAACAATCCGTATTCTCAGACCTATAATCCAGGATGGAAGAATCATCCTAATTTTTCATGGAAAGACCAAAACCAACCTCCATATCAACAACAACAACTACAACAGGCCCCTCAAAAAGCAGAATGAGAGTTAGCTACTGAAAGAATGGCAGCTCAAAGTATGCAATTCCAAGAAGAAACCCGAAACATTCAAAGGAACATCACAGCTTCCATCAAAAACCTTGAGTCGCAGATGGGACAGATAGCCCAACACCTCTCAACACACGCTCAAGGAACCCTCCCGAGCGCGACAGTACCGAATCTGAAATATCAAGAGAGTATTAATGCTGTCAAAACAAGAAATCAGAAAGCGATAGAAGAGGAGAAAACAAAGGGGGAAGAATGTATAGAGGTGGAACTTGAGGTAAGAAAAAAAATAAAAGAGCCAGAAGAAGCTGTACTAACTGAAAAGTCAACTGGAGAGAAAAAGAAAGAGGAGGTCAAACCGAAAATCAAATTACCATTCCCTCAAAGAGTTACAAAGAAGGATCAGAACGAGAAAGACTTCGGAAAGTTCAGTGCAATGTTCAACAAATTGGAAATCAACATGCCCTTCTTTGAAGCACTTGAGCAAATGCCTTTGTACAAGAAGTTCATGAAAGAGGTTATAGGTAAAAAGAGACCAATG